ATAATTTTATTGCTTATGAAAGAATTACAATAAGATTAAACAAGAAGAACATCCGAAATACTTAATGATTGTAAGGCAACTCATCTTTTCACACAAGAATCTGCCTCATTATTAGCTTCTCTAGAAACATGTTTGTAAGTGACACACACACCATTTCCAACAAAGCCAACCAAATCGTTCTAAGTCTCCACAAGGGTCTGAAAAATATTATTACACTAGTTAATAACATTCTGCTGAAATCCCCTATCCTTCAGTATTTTCATCCCTTGCAGAACCGCTAAGATATTTGCTTCACTTGCAGTTTTCTTACTATAAGGACCGGCAAAACAAAAAACCCCTAGAATCTCTGACTACTCCCCCAACCCCAGTAGGTCGTGGGTTACCCAACGAGCTACTATCAAAGTCAAATTGATGCTACTATCTTTCAACCTATTGGCTTTATGGCCTCACATTGATTACTTACTACATCATAAGATTATGCATATTCACTTCTATATCCACTTTCGAAACACCAAATCCTTCCTTCATGATTGAGAACCAACTCCACAAAGTGTGTTGAATCCTCCTTTGAATCATTATAAATTCCAATGAAATACCTTCATAGACCTGTCTATTCCTCTTTAGCCAAACTTCCCATAGAGCTACTATCGTCCCAATCTGAAAAGTTAAACTCCCTACTTTTGATAATCCATGGAATGTCAAGTACTCAATAACTTGAGTATGATTTTGAGACAATGAACCGACAATACCCATTTTTCTAAACAACCAATTCTAAATGACATATGTAAATGTGCAATGAAGGAAGAGATGTCCACTGTCATCACTCCCTTTACAAAGGAGGCAAACATTAGTAACGGTTCGCCCTCCTTTCATTATATTATCTGTTGTCAGTGTCTTCCCTTAAAACAATATCCACAAGAAAACTTTTACTTTCTGAGATATACTTCATGACCATATTTTCTAGAGAGAAGTTTTGTTCCACTTGTATCTATCATGAAACAATAGACTATATGCAGATTTTACCGAAAAATAATCATCACATTCAACTTCCCATACAAGCTCATACTCGACACTTTGGAAGATCCTTACTTCTTGTAACTCTCTCTCTCTCTTTCTCTCTCTCATCAATTTAAGTAAATGTTTCGCTTCCACTCCAACTTTCGAAAACTAGATTTCTTCAAACATCTCTCTCTCATCAATTTCAGTAAATATTCTGTTCTTCCACTCCAACTTTCTAAAACTATATTTCTTCAAACATCTCTCTCTCCATATGTTACCCTCTTTTTCCATATGACAGCATAGATGCAACTATGGAACTATTATTTTCCTTCAATGAATTATCTATTTACAACTCTCTCTCTCTACATGACCTCTGATTTGAATCTATCTTTGTTATTTTAAATTTCTAACCGTGTGTGAAAATAAAAAAACGGAGAATATTTCCCTACCTCAAGAGGTGAAATAGTAAAAAAATTTACCATGGGCTTTATTTGCATATGTATAGCATACCAAACCAGCATATGAAATAAAATTTTCACGTGAAAATATTTTTCGAAAAACATTTACTTAGGAACCAAACGTGCGATAAGTGTTATTTTAATTTTAATTTTTGTTTTCTAGAATTATTTACTATAAAAATTATGATAATCTGACTAATATAATAAATAGAAACATTTATCAAAACACGTATAAGAAATGAACTCTTTAATAATCTATTGTTTTGGAACTATTTTAACTCAAGATCATGTGTTATTTTAAGTGTATTTTAAAATTAAATCGGAAGATATGATAAAGTGTTAATATCTCAAGGGTAATTTGATAAATTTTCTTTATAATAGTCCCTTCATAATTAAATATTGAAATAACAATAGTTATGATAATTCTATATTTTTATGATAAACTTAACATAATTAAATATTTAAATAAAAGTATTGTAATTATACTATTTCGTTTACGTTAAATATAACGTACTACTGCAATATGTGTTGAATACTATTAATCTAGTGCAATATGAGAAACATTTAAATTTTCTATCATTCATAAATTTGTTCGAATTATATAATATCATTTATCATCAATAGTAATAAATATTATTATAATTAATTATTTTATTAATATAATGAAAACAATCAATAATATTATGAGCTATTAAAAATAATAACAAAAAGCAGTTACTTTATTATGAACTATTGAAATAAAAATTTCTTTTTTTTTTTCAACCAATGTTAATACTAAAATAAAAATAAAAATTTCTTATGAAGACATAAATAGTATTAACAATATTAATACGTATAACCTTTTAGTGAGACCTGCGAAGCGGGTGCATCTTACTAGCGTATATTATATGAGCTCCCATGCATGTCGCTGATTACGTTTTGGGAAGTGTGATCATTAGTGAAATTTTGAGTAAATATAGACATCTACGTTAAATTTTTCACTGGCAAAGACAAGCCTTCATAAGCACAACAAAACAGATTTTTACAATTTTCGAAATTTTACATACCCTACTTGATATTTCGAGGGTTAGATTAAAGGGAAAATTACAAAAAACCCCAAGACTACACTTTCTATGCCATTTATCCCAACTTAACTTTTTCTTTTATTTTTTTTTTCAAAATAAACTTTTTATGCAAATAGCCTCCTAAGAGAAAAAATTTATTTTTTTAGACAGAAATGCTCTTCTTGTACACAAAAATCATTTTGGACATATTTGACGTTGACTTTTAGACCCAGTAGCATATTGTCGGAGCACACAAATGTAAGACCGCCTTTTACACAGTGTTGAACCGAACTTTATACAGTACTGGAGTGCTACTGTCGGACCCCACTTACAGGGTGCCGGAGCCCCTATTTTGGTGGGATAGAGGAGAGATAGGCGTGGGTAAAGTAAAAGTAAGGGAGGGTTGTTTAGGTTTTTTTCTTTGGTTAGGGGATTTTTTTGCTTAGAAAGTATATTTTGGGAAAATAAGTGAGAGAAAAAATTAGGTTGGGGTAAGTTGTATAGAAAATGTGGTTTTGGAGGTTTTTTTTGTAATTTTCCCTAGATTAAAGATTTACGCATAAATATTTATCTTGATCGATTCAAACACAATTTCATATTTAATATTTGATTTAAGATATTACTATTTTATATTATGCAGGTTATGTTTAAATCAGTGTTTAAAAAGCCAACTCGGCCATGTGTTTCAACCCTTGGCCGAGCTGAGTGACTTAGCTAAGTCCGAGTGGACTTGGGCGAGTTCATGCACAACCCAAAGAAAGGCAAAAATAAAAAGTAAAAAATTCAAAGTAGTTAAAAACAAGAAGATGATAGAGATAGTAGAAATCATTTGAGGCCTAAAACTATGAAAACCTGTAAAAAAAGATGGTGATTAAGAATTTCCTTGACAATGCTCATGACCAATAAAATCGTATAGAGAGAGAGAGGTTCAAAAGCGCGTAAGAGAGCGGAAAACAAAGAAAAACCAGGAAATATAGTTAATGGTGGAGACTTAATGGTGAAGATAGATATATTCAATTGACTAGGCATGCTTTTGAGTCGAGCACGAGTCCACTTAAGCGCGTGACTATGAGGTAAGAATACTTGATGAGCGCGCATACTATGCTCCTACGGTAGCATGGTGTATGGTACTCCCTCTGTCCGAAAACTTATTTGGGAGGATTTTTTTCAATCCGAATCACTAAATAATCATTAGATAATTATTTTTAAAATAAAAAATATTAAAATTTGAGTTTCTTAACACTTAGATTTTTTTTTTTTTAACAAGATTATGAGCTTTTATTGATAATCATAAAAAGAAACATTACAGTTACTACCGAAGAGAATCATTAATTAAATTGGATGGTCTATACTAAATCTTGCGACATTTTCAAGTATATGGATGGTGCAGTTAGGAAATTCTTTTTTACTAAGGTTGGTCTATAAGTTGAAGATGTTGCATCTCCAAATTTGGGGTCTAACTTGAAGAGGTTACATCTCCAAAATTTATGGTCTGTTCAAACTAGATTAGGTTTTATCCGACGAAGTAAATGGGCAATGTACGTCTGCAGGAGTATAATATCTTTTAGCATAAGTACAATAAACCCATAAGTATCTTGTGGCAAAGGCTCAGTAATGGACTTGAGATATTATTTGATATCGTTTAATGGGAGACTCTTGACAATAAAAAAGTTTGCCCGCATTACACGGCCTATCCACTATAAATAATTGGGTTTATGATCATTTTTTCACAAAAGAAACTGAAAATATTTCATAGTTACAGGGAATTCTCTTTTTTAATACATGGCTTCTTCATGGGACTACTGGTTTTCCCTATGGTGTACTGTGGCTAACGTTGGTCTTCTCATGGTTCATCTACAAAACGCAGGTGAGAAATATTGTGCCTTATTATTGGAAAAGTGCTTGGTGAGTCAGCCGACTCACCTGTAAATATGCAGCCCATTCAAAATGCATCGATCCGTGATTATGAATTTGGAATTTTAAATTTTAAAAATCAAAATGATATTTTTTTAATATTTTGTCCGTTTTGAGTAGAGTAGAGGCATTCTTCTTTGACATCCATCTCTAATATGGACGTATGATATATGAGGAGTTGCACATGTTTTTGTGAGTCGTCCGAGTCACCAAAAACCCTGTCCTATTTAATTATCACTTTTGGTGAAGGTCGTTCTGATGTTTAAAGTACTTTTCTAATGGAGAGTTGTTTCATAGGGGGCTGGACCGTATTTCTATAATATGCGATCCAGAGGTATAAAGCATCCATCGTAGAGATGGAATAGGTGGTCCATCTAAAAACATGTGTAACTAACCTTCCAAAATATTTATAATTTTTATTTAAAAAAATGATGTAAATATTCATTTTAGTTTTCGTTATTAGCAAAATACTAAATACTTTATGTTATTAGTGATATGTCCGTTTTTAAGATTCCATAACAATTTATTTTTTAAAAAAAGATAAAACTACCTTTTTTTGGTTTTTCAAAAATTGAAATCACGTAAATTTCGATTTTTGAAAAACCGAAAATTTAAAATTTTCAATTCATGAAGAACCGAAATTTTTTTTGTCGGTACTCTGTGCATTCTCTCTCTACCTCTCTTTCTCTATATTACACAGGGAGTTTTTCTCTCTCTTATGGATCATCGAGATTCTTATCTATATTTGGTTGAAAGCATTCGCCAATTACCCTCTCAGGTAATATTTTACGCCATGATCAGATAACAGAGATTTCATAAACTTTGAAAGTTGACTCTCCTATGCTCATCACGCCTAAATTTTATACTTTCTTTTTCTCTCTCTCATCATGCCCAAATTTTATATTCTTTTCTCTCCCCTCTTGCTATTTTCGACTCTCTTCTGTCCTACTCTCTTTCATTGGGAAACTCATCAAAACCCAACTTCACATGAGGACAGAAAAAAGTAAGGTCACTACCATACATACCTTCGGTTCCTTAAGTTAAGTAATTCATGGCCTTTCTTTGCAAAACCCATTGCCATCCATCTAGAACTTGATTGGTGGCCAAAGAATCACTCAGCAAGAAACCCACCACTACAAAGGATGAATAGAGAAATAAAGTAAAAGGAATCCCAACAAAATCTTTCAGTTTCTCTAGAAATCTCGAATTTGAAAGCAACTTACTTTTGTTTTCAAAAGAAATAGCGTAGATATCATCAGAGCATAGAAAAACCTCTTCGAAGTGAGAAAAAAAAAAGGGTAAGAAGAAGAGAGAGAAACCCTCAATATATGCACATTTTTGAAGAGTACAACCAAAAGTATCTTCTTTATGTTCACGTTATGTGGAGTTTTAGAAAGACATGGGTAGAATGATCCCATTTTTGTGTATTTTCTCTCTCTAGACTCCGGTTTTTTTTTTTTTACCTTCTTCTCTGTGGGTAATGATAAGAGGAAGAGGGATTGCTAATGAGGAGATAGGGGGTGGAGCGACAGGGATAAATCTTCATCTCTTTGGTCCAAGAGTCTAATAATGGTATAGAGGGAGAGATGGAAGTTATGGCTTTGAATCTTCCTTGTCCTCATATTCTTTGGGCCTTGTTCGGAATCCCCGTGTAATGTAAAGAGAGAGAGGTTGAGAGAGAATACTCAGAGGACTCACAAGAGAGAGAAATAAAATTTCGGTTTTTGAAGAATTGAAAATTAAATTTTAAATTTTTGGTTCGTCAAAAACTAAAATTTGTTTGATTTCAGTTTTTGAAAAACAGAAAAGAGGCAGTTTCGTCTTTTTTTTTAAAAAAAATTGTTATGAATTACATAAGACAAACATATCAGTAATAACGAAAAGTATTCGGTATTTTGGTTATAACGGAAACTAAAATAAATATTTATGTAATTTTCACTTTCTATTTTTCATATTCATAATCTCCATATTAAAGATTATATACTCTCTAAAAAATAGGATCAAATTAAAAAATATATTTATTGCCAAGCCCGCATTTCTACTATATGCGGGCTGGCCGCATAGAAACTGTGTCCTTTTCTAATATATGTATGAGCAAATATTTTATTTATTTTTTTATTCCTCCTTGTACAATTTTGAATTTTAGGGCTCTCACCTATGTAAGTTGGTGAATAAGGGTGGTTATTGAAATGGTTAATAAGCAAAGGTGGATTGTAGTAGGATTATTACCCTACACAACGTCCAACATAACATTGTATAAAGTTCTTAGGAAGCTCATGATCAAATAGAGTTTCAAAATGCTCCTCTCTCTCTCTCTCTCTCTCTCTCTCTTCTT